TTAGTGGACCCTTTGGAAACACCTGGATTTCTGCATCAATAGCTCTTAAAATGTTGTTGACTCTTCAGTTAAATCACAGTAACAAATAAACACAATTTTCTAAAAGTATCAATCCACCTAAAACTCATATGTTGTCGTTCTTTCCCATTGTCGCCTTCTCCAGCTCTTCCTTTTGTATTCTCCATAATCAATAAAAGATCAAACAGAGAGAGTAAGTCCCCTTCTTAATGGTCTCAGCTGTCTCAGGAACTAAATCAGAGATATATCATCCTCTAAAACCTCAAGAGATATACAGTGAAACTTTAAAGTTTTTGACTAAGTGGAATGCACAAAAAGTACAACATATAGAGTTGAAATCTAATTTTATGTGTGTAGTGGACCGATAAAATCAGAGAGGCCCTGAGGCATAATTGGTATGATCACTCCAGATGCCTGATAAGACATGAACTAGGCTGATAAAGTTGGAAGGTCCAGAGGGGTAATGAGTATGAGTGTATTATATTCATTACCCCTCAGGTTCCCTCCAATTGTATCAGTCCAGTACATAATTTCTTCAACACTACCATACCCTGATGAAGGGTGGCCCTTTGAACCTCCAAAACACATTGGATTTTATGACAGAGTCTGAATAAAACTAAATCTGGACTTTATATGTTTTGCTTCTGCTGCCTAAGATGAATCATTCTCCCACCTTCTGCTTAAGAGATCCAGCACCTTTCTTCTAATTCCCTTTAAAGTTTGTTTACCCTTTGGAATTTTTAATACTTCTGTATAAATATTACTTAAATGTCATCTATTTTTTCATGCAAATTCTAAAACTAAATAATGAGAACCCAATTAAACAAAGTAGTAAAAAACATATGCTTTACATTTACTGTATTTTTGAGAAAACGATTCAAAGTTGCTGTGCATTTTTGTGTGTGGCAAAAGTATATGAACATTTGATTTCAGTAACTGGTATGCCTCCCTTGGGCAGCAATAACTGCAACTAAACCTTTCCAGTAACTGTTGATGATATCTGCTCGGAGGAATTTTAAACTATTCTTCCTCACAGAACAGCTTTAAACTTTAGAGTTTTTGATGGCCTTGAACTAGCTGCTTTAGGTTATTTCACAACATTGATATAACACAAAATTTCTCCTGCTTTAACCATTCTTTGGTATAATGATTTGTGTGTTTAAGGTCATTGTCCTGCTTCATGAACCACTTACCCTTGAGTTTCGGTTCATGGACATAGATCCTGACATTTTCCAGCAGAATGTACTGATCCAAATAAGAATGGATAATCTCATTAATGATAGCAAGCCATCCTGGTCTAGAGGCAGCAAAGTTGGCCCAAACCATGATACTACCACCACTGTAATTCACAGATAGAATAAGGAAGTTTGGGCTCATTCACATGGATGTGTACAGCTGTACAACATGCATGCCAGGCAGAAACCTGCGCCCATTAGAGACAGCTGGTGCATGTAGCTACATGCAGCTGTCTGTATAACTCAATGATGGGATGTGGGTGCAAGCTGCTACACACCGACCTGGACTTGCACATCCGTACAGGTATGGACATGCGCCCTTCAATGTGTACTGCCCTGGCAAGACTTTACAGCGATGGTGAGACTGCACAGCCCTGGTAAGACAGCACACAGCCCTGTTGAGATCCCATGCAGCCCTGGTGAGACCTGGCACATCCTCCTCTGACTATGCACAGCCCTGGTGAGACTGTACAGCCCTGGTGAGACAGCACACAGCCCTGGTAAGATCCCATGCAGCCCTGGTCAGACCCCGCACAGCCTCCTGAGATGTCACATAGCCCTGCTGAGCAACACAGAGTATGTAGCTTCACATTTTATTGCTTTGCTGTATCATGTATTGCTGAGATTTGTAGTCCTGTATAGCTGATGGTATTCTGCATTGCTGTATAATGGATTGCTCACCCCATATGCAAGTAAAGAATGCCTGTTTTTATGCAAAATGGTGCTAAAAGTATGTAAGGGTGTATAGCAGTGTACACAGGCCCGGCGCTACCGCAAGGCAAGTCAGGCGGCTGCCTGAGAGCGCTGCAGGGTGAGGCCGGAAAAAACAGGGCATTTTGACAAGTACTTGTACTTGTCAAAATGCCCCGATGTTTGCGCTATGTTTTTTTTTTCCACTTACCTTCAGTCCGGGAGAGCAGCGGCGAGTCAACGCTGGTCCAGTGGGAGGAGCTCCAGGTGGGGTCCTAATTTAGCTGGCCGGCGACTGCCAGAGGATCCCGACACGCGCGGCACCTCAGGCAGTTGCCGGCCAGCTAAATTAGGACCCTACCTGGAGCTCCTCCCACCGGACCAGCGCTGACTCGACGCTGCTCTCCCGCACCGAAGGTAAGTGGTAAAAAAAAACATAGCGCAAACATCGGGGCATTTTGACAAGTACAAGTACTTGTCAAAATGCCCTGTTTTTACAGGGGGGGGGGGGCGCAAAAATGCACCTTGCCTGTGTAGGCAAGAATCCTAGCACCGGCCCTGAGTGTACAAGGTGTTAATTGAGAATCCTGATATTCTTTGTCATCACTTTTTAAGAATCTATCTCAAACATAGCAGGGATTAGGGAAATGGTTTAAAACTCAATACTGGTCAGCCTATTTGTACATTAGTGTAGAGAACTAACCCCAGTCTGACAGATGTTTATTGCTTCAGGCTATTATTGATAGGCTGTATTAAGATTCTATGGCTTTCCAAGTACTGTTTGTGACAGCCAATAAGCCATTTATGATGGTGCTTATTAACAGACTGTGCAGATTTCAAATTTTCTTTTTAGATTTACGATGGTCTGCTTTGGGTCTCTGGCTGAACTGTGTTCTAGTGTGGAGGTGTTCAATCTGGTCTGTGGCTTTTAAAATCAGATTTAAATCTAAACATTTTGTTGCAGACTTGCAAATGTAGGAGAAATAAGGATGGCACTGTGTGCAACATGACCTCCCCATTCTCTACACTCAGTTTGGAGTCATCAGAACTAATTTTTTTCACACTTCTCTCACCTCTAACAGTCCATGTTGTCCTCTTGACATGAGCAGAACCATCTGTTCTTGGGAGAGCAGCAACACTCTGTTGTTGCGGTAGATTGACTAACTGTAGACTTGTGAGCTCCTAGGCTTTTAGCAATGCTTTTCTAGTAACTTCCAGAATTATGCTCTACTCTACAGTAGTTTATTTAAGTAGCTCCGACATTGTTTTGATCAGGGCAAGACCTTGGGATGGAACCATTTCAGGAAAGAGCGCTTTATTTGGATTCAATGTGTATTATATGAAATGTATAAAGTATTTTGATTGATGCTATTAACAACATTAACATGTTTTTGTTAGCAGTTGTTTTAAACATAAGCCCCTTTTTCCAGATTAATAGTAATGAGGAATGGTGGCTATTTACTTAGCTAATATGGGTTGAAGTTAATGTACAGATTTAAAATCCACTCAAAATAAAAACCCCTGTTGATTTTTCATTGAAATATGCGTCCCTGTTAAGAAGAAGATTCCCTTTCTATATTTATCTTGATGACCACTACCGCCGGGCTAAAAGAAAGGGAAAATCATACATTTAGAGGACAAATCTTTCAATAGGGACACTTTTTTCAATGACTAATGGCTAAGAGGATTTCCCTCACTTTGGAAAGATTTCCTCTCACTTCCTGTTGTGTCTATAGGACAGGGAAGGGAAATCTCCCCAATGGGACACAGATGGCAAAAAAAGAAGAAAAAACCTGGCACAATTTAACCCTCCACTACTCTATCCAAAATTAAAAAATGATTAGCTCTAGATATACATCTAAAATATATTACATAGTGGACCAGTGACGCAAGCTGCAAGCTATTTAATGTATAGGGTTTAGAATGATTATGCAAATTAAAATGAATATGCATTCAATCAAAAAGGATGCATAAACCAAGTCAAATCTATGTAGAAAATTTACAGATTGTTCATTTACGTACATGTTCATGCTTTCAAAGAATATAGTAAGTAAGAAAAGATGAAAAAAGACTATAGGATTATTGTGACATATAGAGTGATAAATACAAGGCAGCTAGGTGCATTCTTGCATGGCAGCATTTTGTTTCTTCTTTCTATTTCCTCTCTTCCTTTGTGATGTTAAAATGTGTATTTAGTAATGAAGTATGTAACCCACAGTGTAAAGCTGACCATACACAGATAAAATTTTGACCATTTCCCACTGACTCGGCCAAAATTCTATCTGTGGGTGGCTCTATCGGCCCCAGGAAAAAATATGTGCAGTCATTGTGCAGGTATGCTGACAGCTATGGGTGCTGGCTGTCAGCATACAATAATGGCAGGGGAGATTCCTCTAACTACGCTGTTTACCATTGATGAAGGAATGAAGTGACTTCTCTATTAAGGCCCCGTTCACACTGAGTGATTTATCGCGTGGTAATTCCCGCGTTATCGCGGCTATTTACCGCGCGATATCGCTCTCCAATGCTTGGCAATAGGGCAAAGGGTCCTGCTGTCGCGGGTCGTGCGTCGCTACAGCAGGACCCTTTTTGGAGCGGATTTTGCCGCGATTCTAGCTTGCCCAATGCAAGCATTTGCGCGATATCGCACGACAAACGCGCAATTTGCGAATCGCGCAGTGTGAATGGGGCCTTAGATGCAAGGATAGCTTAACACTAACATATGTGCATTCTTGTGCCCTGACCATCCCATTCAGTAGATTCCTTACCTCTTTATGAACTGAAAGCTTATTAAAGAACAGTGAGTGATGTGAATAATCCTTTATAGTAGGTATAGTGTTTTGTGATAATAACGACAATATATAATTATAGGAAATAAAATAAATTATTTTCAAGCCTTTGTTTTTTGCCTGGGTATACTGAAGGAGTTAATTCACTGTATGGCATATTCATCCTTTACATGGAAATAAGCAAGTTATATATTTGTGAATTTTCAACATTCAGTTTCAAAGCAAATCTGTTTGACTTTGTGCTAATATTGTCTATTCTGTCCTACAGAAAGCCAGGCTTGCAAGAATTAAAGTGGCCAAGACAGGAAGTTCATCTGCGTACATGCACAGCAAAAGGAATGGCTTGCTCAACGAGGCACTGGAACTTGGGGTATGTCTTGAAAAATGTAAAATGTTGCACTAAAAATGCAGTTTTTTTCTTTATTTTACTATTGTTGAATCTAATATTATAGAACACATATTTCTCAAACTGCACGTCATCCCAACCAGAGTAAAATGTAAACTGCAAAATTGGTTACTTAAAGAAAAACTATGGCATGCCATTAAAAAATGCGCTGCTGCACTTAATTATAAGTACATCTGCATTAACAGTTTTCTCTTAGTCCCCCTGCAAAGTCCCATAAGTACCTGCTGATCCTGACAGTGAAATCCACCTCATGCAGCTTCCTTTGATGGTGTAACAATGCTGCATTGCTCTTGAATTCAGAGAAGAGTTGATACTCTCACGTAGGCTGTGCCTACTTGTATTACAGTGGGATAAAAAATTTTGAAGGGGGGCCACTGTTGTCACATCTGATTCACAAGCCTTTACCTTATTAGTCAACACCCGGCCACACCTAGTCCTGCCCATTTCTTTCTAGATTGACAGCACTGCTTCTGTTGCTGAAACCCTTCCACTGTTAGCTGCACTGTCTGGAATCAGAAGTGTGTGACACAAATAAAAAGCTGGCAGAGGTTCTAATTCTACTTCGCTTTATAAAAAGCCATTCACTATTTATGTTGGTTATTATATGTGAGTGCAATCTCTTACAAGGTACATATTTCTGCACGGAACAGACATTCAAAAATGTGTTGCAGAAGGTTATTTGGAAGCTATCCAAATATGTTCATCGCTTTTAAACTATTTTTTGATCTTGTCCTTTTGGTACAAAAAAAAAAAAAACAACAACATTTCAACATTAGTGACATTATATGGGGCAAGGTGCAATTTCTTCACCTGATCACATAAAGAGACCACAATCTACTTTGGAAACTAAATACATGAATGCAATTTGTATTGCAATACATGTAATTACAGTGTTCTCTGCTGCCTCACTTTGAGTTGCATCAATAAGCAGAGATATATCAATGCCACTACTCTGACTGATGATTGATGCTTTTGGGAGTGTTGGATCCTCAGACTTCGTGCCACCTGCAACAACCACTGCATAATAAACCATGAGAGCCACTGCATAGTAAACTGTGACAGCCACTGCATTCTAAACCATGAGAGCCACTGCATAATAAACTGTAACAGCCACTGTATAGTAAACCGTGACATCCACTGCATAGCGAACCCTGACAGCCACTGCATGGTAAACAGTAAAAGCCTCTGCACAGTAAAAGATTACAGCCACTGAAAAGTAAACTGTGGCAGCCACTGAAAAGTAAACTGTGGCAGCCACTGCATAGTAAACCATGCCAGCCACTGTATAGTAAACCGTGAAAGCCACTGCATAGTAAACCGTGACAGCCACTGCATAGTAAACCATGACAGCCACTGCATAGTAAACTGTGACAGCCACTGCATAGTAAACCGTGACAGCCACTGCATAGTGAACCGCGACAGCCACTGCATAGTGAACCGTGACAGCCACTGCATAGTGAACCGTGACAGCCACTGCATAGTAAACCGTGACAGCCACTGCATAGGAAACCGGGACAGCCACAGCACAGCAAA